CAAATTCCATAATTGGGCAGCCCAAGCAATATGAGCTTAAATTCCATTCCATGTGTCAGGACAGCTACAGCATAGTGTTCTCATAGCTTCATAAAGAGAATACATTAACTGGATGTTGAGATGATGCTATGAGTTTACATCTGAGCAAGGTCTTCCCAATGGAACTCCCTATCAGGTTACCACTAAACTGGTAAAAGTGATCTGTACTGGTACATAAGGATGTACAAAGGAATAAACACTGGAAATCAGAGGTGGTTTTATGGTACCTGTCTGCATTGTACAATTTGCACACTCCCACTTTATTTTCAGATGCATGAAAACTATTATTAATCACAGATAACAAACAGAACACCTGAAAAGCAGGATCTGTAATCATCCTGTGACAATAGGCCTGCAACGATGACTACTTCAGATTACCCTACTGCAGAGCTGCCACACTCCTCCCACAGTGTGTGATGCTATTGTCATCAGTCCTTGTTTTTCAGGCCTGGCCTCAACCCAGCCCCAGAGCGTACCTGTAATAAACAGCATGGGGAGCAGCCTCACTACCCTGCAGCCCGTCCAGTTCTCCCAGCAACTGCATCCATCCTACCAGCAGCCCCTCATGCAGCAAGTCCAGAGCCACATCAACCAGAGCCCCTTCATGGCTACCATGGCCCAGATACAGAACCCTCATGGTAAGAATGTGAGCTCATCTGCTCAAGCAAACAACAAGATAATACTCTGTTCTGGAGCATTTGCTGGGTCCTTGGGCTTGCAGAACTCTACTTTCCTATTATTGCTGCTCTAATGATATTATTTTTCTGTTTCATTCATCTCCCTGTCCCTCCACTCCCACTGTTTCAGAGACGAAAGAGCAGGTCCAAGGCATGAGGAGAACAACTCAGCCAAACTAGTCTCATGCAAAGCTCCAGCATCCACATGATCTTGTTTTCTTTCATGCACAGCTCTCTACGGCCCCAAGTCTGAAGTGGCCCAATACACACATACAGGCCTCTTACCACAAACCATGGTGATAACAGATACAGCCAATCTCAGCGCCCTGACTAACCTGACACCAACCAAACAGGTAACAGCCTTTAGCCTTTTCCCACCTTCGAACTGTACCAGTCTGCAGGTAGCTCCTGGCTTGTCAGAGATGTTTTGGGTGTGTAGCCTATGCAATCCCAGTGGGATGATCTTTCTTATCTCCTCATCTTGCTGGTACCAGCAGCGATACTGGAGGCATTAAGAGTAAGCCCTTCACTGCATCACCAAGAAGGATTTAATCTCCTTGGAAACGGCACCTGCTCACTCTCCTCTCCTGCTTGTTAGAACAGATGTAGAAACCAGGCACTTAACTTTCTTTTCTCTAGGCATTCACACCTGACTCGGAGACCCACACAGAGTCTGAGATGCACCCACCAGTGTCACAGGCCCCAACGATACATTTACAGAACCAAGACACAACCATCCAGCACCTTCAGCCAGGCCCTCGCCTCACCTCAAGCCCTGCTGGTAAGCGCAGCAGCCACTACCTTAAACCACGTATTGCTTAGTTTCTTTTGCTAACACTGTAAAAATCCACTTAGAAAAAGGTAACTGGGGCTCATGGTTCTCTTACAGGGCTCTAACAGTGTCTTGGGGGTGTGTGAATGCTGGTACAAGGAAATGATTCAGAGCGTGGTCTGCAAAAGGCCAGCATGGAAATGGGACCCTTCTTCAGAATCTAGAGAGGAAGCTAACCTCATCAACAAAATCACTGTCCATGAATATCCAGTCTTGTGGGCAGTTTTTAGGACTGAAAAGCCCAAGAACCCCTCATGAAAAGACTCCAGTTGGAGCTTCCCAGTTCTAAGGGAAGAACTAGGACATGAACAATTAACTAGAACCCTCAAAACTGAAGGCTGTCACTCTCAGTGTTTTCAGGCTAGCTGTGGACCGAAGCTAGGCACATAACAGCACACAAAATAGAAAGTTATGTCCCTATGCCAGGAGAGTTCAGTCATGCTGGAAATGTAAGTGTGCACACATAAGGGGACTACAGTGAGAATGTGTACTTAACTTTTGCCTGTGCCTTTGACAGTGTCCTCCAGCAGCCTGGTGCTGTACCAAAGCTCTGACTCCACCAACAGCCACAGTCAGCTGCTGCCATCCACTCACAATGTCATCGAGACCTTCATCTCCACGCAGATGGCATCCTCCACTCAGTAATCATGACAACTAGCTCAAGGGTCACAGCCATGACCCACCTGTCAGGTCCAGCTCCAACTGTGTTTGCCACCATTGTCAATGCTGCCTTCCGCAGGAAGAAAAGGCTGCTGCACTCAGCCGACCTCCAGCCCCCCACTGCCTCATACAAATCACTTACTCAGCTGCCTCCATAAAAGATGTCCCAGGCTCGAGACAGAAGCCATGGAAAGGTGATGCTGGCACTAAAATCCACTGCCTCCCAAAAACCCAAGCAAACCCAAACCCCAGCAGTCAACCTAAAATGACCAGACATCCTGCTCCAGAAGGATTCAAGATAGGGATCTGAATGCAATATTGCAAAAATGCCAGGGCATGGATGGGACTTTCAGTGTGCTCAGCCTTCATCAAGCTGGCTCCGTACAAACCTGCCAAGACCAGACTAAGCCATGCAGGAAAAAGCGAAGCTGAGCTGCCAAAGAAGGGATGCTCTAAGGAAGCACCAATGGGAACTTTGAGAAATAATAGCACCTTGGAGGCAAGAGTGAAAGAACCTGGTTCCTGACAGTGCAGTGAAAACCATCATGAAACAGGTTCAGGAATGGCTTGGTGCAAACTTCTCAGTATGGGATCACTGACTTCAAGCTACAAATCCTTTAATTAACTACAAAAATACCAAACATTCTCAGTTAAAAATGACCTGCTCTAAAATCATGCTATCCTAGTGGAAACAGCTTGGTTATTTTTGATATAGCTCTGCTTTGTTTTAAATGCAGAAATTAAAGTTTAACAGCAGCAAGGAGATTCCAGTTCTTTGCATTATCCATGTGGATTTTCGTGTGTCTTGTTGAATGAGCTGAGGGTGTCATTCTCCACCAGTCCCTGACACTGCACACATGTCCCCATGCTCCACAAAGAGCACTGGTTCCTTCACTTGTTCTCTATAGAGATGTCAGCTTTGCTTTAAAGAACACAGTTCATTCTTAGCTTCTCTGTAGGCTAAATTCTGTAGTTCTTGATATGCAAATAATTACCATGGGTTCTAAGAGTCTCACTCGCACTAAGTTAAGGTTTTTAGCCCTATAGATCTACTTGTATAATTCCTCTCCTAATTATTCTTCTCTATTTACTCTCAATGTGCACATCACTGATATGTCACTAGCCAGACATGAAAAAAAGCCTCAATTAATGTTTTTGTGTTTGTGACCAAAACAAAGCTATTCTTTCAACTGTGAAATGGATGAAACCCCTCAAAACCAGAATGTGCTCAAGACTCTGAAAAGGTTAAGAGAATGTCTAAAGAAAAAGCCCAACAGTGAACTCTTCCGTTACCATACCTGGAAATCTCAAAATTGAAGCTGTCCATTACAGTTTTTAATGATAAGAGCCCTTTCTAGATATCATCAGCCACCAAAGACTAATTTCAGTAACTAGAGTCTGAGGAATTTTATCCTAGAACTATTTCCCAATCTCACACACGCATCAGTTGCAAATACATAAAACTTCCAGTTAGCTTAAAAATAATCATCATAAAACAAGTCAAAAGGTAATGTTTAGATCACTGTGTATTTGCAACCCCAGGCGGTAGCTTCAGTATACTTAAGTTTTAACTGCCCATAAGGCAAGTGACTTCTGCTGGCACATTCAGTTAGATTACAAGCCGATTTTCCACTTAGCTTCACCATTTTTGGATGCCAACTGTGTTTTCTCAAGTAAAAAGCAGCAAGGATCTTACAGTAGAAAAGAAGATATCTTGGGTTTTCCTATGCTCAAAAAGCAACTTCTATTTCAAATTCTCTACTCTGGCTTTCTGGTCTCCTGAATAGGGCCAGTAAGTTAGAGCTACTGAAATCCAACAATCTTAAAAGCAAAAGTGTATTTATCCAATAACAGGTCATTTCCTGAAATACCAGAACTCAAGTATAAACAGACTAAGAGCCATACTCAAAACTACCAAACCCCACTGCATGTCAGACAGACAGAAGTCATAAGCAGCTAAAACAAAAGACTGAAACACAGTGACTTTTAACTTAGGCTTAAGTCCTTCCTATAGCAATTTCATAGCATTGATCACCAAGCAACTAATGAGCCATCTTCAGCCGCCTTTATCTCTGCTGGGGGAGCCGTCTGAATACAGCAAGAAAGCCACTGTTGAACAAAACCTGCCAAATTAAGTAACAGTGTATTAGAATTTAATAACAACAAATGCCATGAAAAAACTACACATGAAAAGAAATTGACAGACACAACTTGAACAGAACTACTTCTATAGGTGAAATAAGTTCACTGCATACTCTGCTTATAGGCAGGGCACCCTGGAGAGGCGCAGATTACAGAAGGATTAGTAACGTGGCAGGTTTCAACAACAGATTGTTGTGATGATCACAGGGAAAAAAAATAAGGGGGCCCTGATACATGACAGGATGTTTTTGATAAATGAGTCTCCCACAGGCTTGGAGCTATTCTTAGTAGGCATCTAGGAGGAGGCAAAGAGAAAAAGGAGTTGATCACCTGTTGCCATGTAAACCAAATTCAATTTATCATTTGATTTCTCCAGGACACAAGGTTTGATTTCATAATGTGAAGGAACAGACCAGGAGGGATGCAGCTATGATTATAGCTTTCTGTCACACCAGTGAGAACAATGTTCCCTTCCCCAAGCGACACCAACCACATAGGAAGTCACTCAATTAGACTCTCAGGCCACTGAGCTTTTAGAACAGAAGCTTTGCCAATTCATTCTCTTCCATCTGCAGCAACTCTTGTTGTCAGGGTTTGTTCCCAGCATCCTTCATCCATCACATTCACCTGCTGTTTCCACAGCAAAAGCCTCATTCTTTTTTTCTCTTCTTCTTTTTCTTCTTCAAAGCTCCTGGCAACACCAAGTTCTCTGGATGACTGCAGTCCTGGCTCTCATGCTGTCCATTTGCAGACACCAACTGTGGCAAATCTTTGTAGATCTGATCACACTCTGCTGGGTCTATTATTTTCTCCTGAATATTGTTCTCTCCCCTAATTTTTGCTTTCTTCTTCTTCTTCTTCTTTTTCTGTCTGTGTTCTACATAACCCCGACTCTGATCCTGGCTGGAATCCTGGCACAGTGCAGGAAAAGCACTTTGCTTCATAATGTCTGTGGCTGACACAGCAGCCTCTTGGTACCTTTGCCACTCTTGGTCACTGTCCATCTCACTGGAAAGGCAGCAAAATTAAAGGAAGATATGTTAAACTTCTGCCTTGAATTCAGCCAAAGCACAGACAGAACAATCTGAGAACACCTGATAAACACCCAGTGGCTCTGGGACTCCAATAGCTTCAATTAGCATTGAACCAGTCTGAAGGCTGACATGTTCTTTACACAAACTAGGAGGGGAAAGAACATGCCTCACAAACACTTCTAGTTCCCCAGCACTAAAAAAACAAACAAAAAGAATCTGCCCTAGTCAAATGGAGGAGTCAAATACACACTTCTTAAGCTCTTCAGCTTCCTATTCCCTTGTGAGAGTCCCAGCTGCCTCTGAAAGGTGGGATGCAATTGTACTTTGTGAGCAAAGGAGCTAACACTACCTCACCTGGAGCTAGATGGCTGTCTCCTCCTCGCTGCAGGGCAAGGCTCTGATTTCCCACAGTCTCCTGGGACAGAGGAGGAGAAGAGGCGAAACCCTAGAACATGTAAGGGGGAATTTTAGCCACGGTACAAAACAGAAGTGAAAGCAATCAACAGCAATCTCCCTGGGAAGCCTCACTGCTGTTACTGTAATGCTGTAGTGTTTGACAGCAATTATTTGAGACTATCTGGGAGGACTTAGGGCACAGAGATCACAGCTTCAAACTAATACAAACATCAATGGAATTCTTCTATTGTAAATGCTTATTAGGCAGTTGGGTGTAAAACCACCAATGGACAAGATCTGTCTCACATATTTAACTAACAACGTCACAAAACAGCCACCATGGCTGTGACTAAACTCACCATCATCTGCAGAGTCAGACTGTTGCCCAGAAGTTTGTGAGGGTCCTGATGAGTCCTTCAGGACAGTGATGAAACTAAACAGAAAACCCCAGTCAGGGCTTGGACAGGTTTGTGCAAACTGAGCTAAAGTTGGGTATTCCCAGGAAACAGGCCTATAGGGAGATGTTACACAGCATCTCACTTTTTAATTAGTGAAGCTGTTTCAACTCCCTGCTTTCAGGGCAGACTGTTCCTTCTGTCCTGAGCAACACATGCCACAGGAATAACTTAAAAGCAGAGTTTCTAAAGACAACATTAAACACCAGGAATTCTGGTTCTCCAGGCCCATGCTGACACAATAAAGACAGTGGCAGCCCAGTTGGAGGCATACTGGCAGCACAACCCTGAATGACGTATTGGTTTAGGTCATAAGAATAAATATAAGATTCTCACACCAGCCTTTACATGATGCAGATGCTAAGGCACCCAAATTCTGCCTCTTCCTCCCCACAACATACTCGCTGCAGAGGCAAATAGAGACAGGCAGTGGGAGTCTTTTACCGGGGACCACAGCACATGGGCCAGGTTAGTGCATAGAATACTGGAAATTTGCATTAAATACAAGAATTAAGAAGAAAACAAGAGAAATAGTTTCTCCTCAATATCCAGGCTGCACTCAGATCTTTAATTTCCTGGACTTAGCATACAAAAGCATCAGTGTAGTTGGCTCATAAATCATGGTCGTCCAGTGTCACATGCCAACACCTGTCTAGCATTGCTCCCAGTTTCTTTGCTACATGTGCTCTGAACTCTGGTGTTGTCTGCAGCTCATTTCCATCCTCTTCATGACCGTTCAACTCATGCCTGTTTAAAATAAGAATAATGATTATCTCTTTCAAGGTAAATAACATGTGGTGCTCTCACCCAAACAAGAGACAAGGGATGCAAAATTTCCTACCCTCTAGTAATTAATTCATACTTGATAGGGAAGACTGCTAAGAAAGATGGGAAATAGCTCAGGAGTAACAGTTCAGTTTCCAAGAGAGCTAAACGTTATTAACCCATCTCTATCATAGTTGGATGACTCCTCTTATTGAAATAGCCAACAAAAGCAAACAAATCATGTCAGGACATCCCTTCTCTTGCATGTAGTTCCTGTGTATATTGCCATAATTTATACAAACCCTGTCCCAGGAGAGAGGGTTTTACTAAGCTGCCTGGCTGACAGCTTTTGAAATTGAGCTTACAGAAATGCTGCAGACTTAGATAGGACAGCAGCCCCTCTGCTCCAAGGCTGCTGGGTCATTTCCAGCTGATGAGTGCTTGCCTTTGCAATTGCACTGTTTTTCAAAGAAAACCTGGGTTTATATACATGCAACTGTACTAATTCCTTCACGGGACACTTGCAGAGTTGGGAGGTTTCCGACAGTTGGAACTAATGCTGTAACTGACAGTGGTGGGAAGTTTTCAACTTCTATATTTCCCTGCTGCTAAAGGGATGAGAAATGCACTTAAAAAAAAATTATTAACAACTATCAGATTCAAGCATAATTTCAGATTCTGGCTGGACTAATTCCCAAAATAGTAGGAAGTATCCCGAGGTGTTAACTGTAAGTAGCACAAATACAACATAGATTAGCTTTCTTCTGCAGTGAAACATAAGCCTGAAAACAGGAGTTAAAATACCTTAGGCTAGGCTGAGCAGGCTGTGGCTGTAACCCATCCTTTTTAAAGCCACCTAGCAAAGGAAGAATAAAGGCAAGTTTAAAAGAGCAGCGGCAAAGACCTCTTTAACCCCCTTTCTGGCACATGTGAGTTTATAGCACAAAGAATCACTGTAGTGAAATATTGTGGTAAAACAGTTACGAGTGAAAGGGGAACTCGCCACCGGCCAGGCTGTAGCAGATATCTTCCCGGGAAGCGGCTGGGGCTCTGCCCCGGCAGGAGGCCGCGCATCGCCGGGCCGGGCCGAACCCCCTTTCAGGACCCCTCTCGGCTCCCTTGGG